CTGCAAGAGAGAAGGAGAGGGAAGGTTAATAAGTTTGCTTTTTATCTCTATCAGTCTTTGATGAAAGGAAAGACGAGAAAAATGATGATATTGACACAGACACACACGGACGAGGTACCAAAACCTGGTTATATATCACAAATAATTAGGCGTCCACGTTCATTACTGAGTCGTTAATCGGGCACGAGTTGAACAGCCCCATCCCAGCCGCCACACCCACCCTGTCATGGACTCCGCAGAGCCATTAGTAACAGAGTTCAGCGCAGAGCTTCAGGCAAAATGACGTAGTGAGTTTTTTCTCTCTGTTTTTTGTTTTTGTTCTTTCTTAACCGATCTCTTTCTCGCCTGTTATTTGTCTGATTTGTTCCGCCTCGTGCCGATGCATCAAAGGGGAGTGACAGAAAACGGAGGCTTTGGACTAAAAGTTTCAGTGGGTAACTAAACTAAATAAAATTTTAAATGTAATTTTGATTGCCTGACCTCTTATAATCCAAATGAGCAGGATACTTTATTTCGGCATCACTGATAATCAGAATAAATCTTGAAAAAATTACCTAAATAACATAACTCTACATGTATATCCTTAATACCGTATAATTACGAATACTCTACGAAAAAAGGAGAAAATAATATGTCTGCATAAACACGTGCCGGCAAAACATGCAGAAAAAGCCTTGTAATCATACGCTTAGTGTCTTGGGCTACGGTGCTCTTTCTTATCACAAATTCCGCTTCAGTGAATACCGTCTGAGAACATCTTGGCAAATATTTTCTTTTTTTTCCTTTATCTTTTTAATTTTTGGTGATCTTGAAAATTGTGTTTGTTTATTTGTTAGTTTGTATGTTTGTGTCTGTTTGTCAGATTATAATAACGCGTCCTTTATTATCTATCATTTAATTTTCCCTCTTGATTCATCCTTGTTCTCGTCCCCTTCAGTCAAGAATGTTCAGTGTTCGATGTCTACACCGTCGCTATCCCTCCCTATCCTTCCCATCCTTCCATCCCTCTTCTCTTCGTGTTAGCCCTCCCATCATTTCCTTCCATTCCCTCCCATTTACGTTCTCCTATCTCCTATCCGTCCTTTCTGAACATCATCCATTTTTTTCCTTTCTTTCCCTCTCCCTCTTCCTTCATTCCTATTCATCTCTCTTCCCATCCATCCTTCCCATTTCCTTCAATCCCATCCCTATCCTTTTCCCCTTCTTGTCCTTTACCCTTCGCTCCCTTCCCATCTCCCTTACCCTTCCCTCCCTTCCCACCCCCTTACCCTAACCCTCCGGCTACCTTCCCCACCCCCCACCCCATCTCCCACCTCCCCCTGTCTCCCCCCCCCCCCCTCACCTGCGCCATCTTGGGTCGTCGTACCCCAAGAGGCGCGCCCGAGGTCGTTGAACTCGGGGCGTCCTGGCCTGGAATTCTGAGGGAGGGAGGCCAGTGGGTGGGGTGGGGGGCCTTGAGAGAGAGAGAGAGAGAGAGAGTGAGTGAGTGAGTGAGTGAGTGAGTGAGTGAGTGAGTGAGTGAGTGAGTGAGTGAGTGAGTGAGTGAGTGAGTGAGTGAGTGAGTGAGTGAGAGTGAGTGAGTGAGTGAGAGAGAGAGAGAGAGAGAGAGAGAGAGAGAGAGAGAGAGAGAGAGAGAGAGAGAGAGAGAGAGAGAGAGAGTAGTTATAAGGGGGTTGGGAGGAGGGAAGAGGTTGAGGGAGGGTTTGGGGGAGGGGGATAGGGTAGGTAGGGGGCGTCCTGGCCTGGAATTCTGAGGGAGGGAGGCCAGTGGTGGGGTTGGGGGACCCGGGGAGGGGTGGGGCAAAGGTGAAGGGGGTTGTTATAAGGGGGTTGGGAGGAGGGAAGAGGTTGAGGGACGATTAGAGGCATTGGGGGGAGAGGGTGGGGGGTGGGAGGCTGAAGGAGGGACTGTGGTAGAAGGAGTAAAGCAAAGGGGAGGGGGAGGACAAGGGGAGGATAGGTATTAGGAGTTGGAGGATTGAGGGGGTTGAAGGAGCGAGTAGGGGGAGTGGGCGGAAGAGGGAAATGGAGGGAAGGGAAAGAAATGGGAGAGAGGGAGGGTAGAGGGAGGGAGTCGGGGAGGAGTAAAGCGAGGGGAGAGGGAAGGGGGAGGAGGGAGAACTGGTCTTAGTTTGGGCATAGGAGGAGGACGGGGAGTGGGGGGAGACGGGGAGAGAGGAGTGAGGGGGAGAGGGGAGAGAGGGGAGTGTGGAAGAGGCAAAGGAAGAGAAGTGGAGAGAGCGAAAGAGGAGAAAAGGAAAGGCGAAAGAGCGAAAGAGAGAGAGGGAGAGAGAGTGAAAGTGGGAGAGGCAGAGAGAGCGAAAGAGGGCGAGGAAGAGAGGGCGAAAGAGCGAAAGAGAGAGAGGGAGAGAGAGCGAAAGAGGGAGCGACGCAGAGAGGGGAGTGGAGACGGGAACTTCAAGAACCAGCGTCCAGTTGCAACTTGCAAAAAGTCCGATAGAAAACTGGTCTTGGTTGAGTGCTTAGATTGGTTTATTAGAGGGGTAAGAACTGGTCTCGACTTGCAGAACTTGCGCTGTAGGACTCGTTCTGGTTGCTTAGCAGTGAGGGCTCGAAAAAATCCCTTGTAGAATATTTTTTATGATATACAAGAACCGGTTTTGAGTCTGACACGTTCGTCTTTCTCTCTTTTTTTTTTTTTCTGTATCACTTAGGTCATTAAATCATCAAAGAACCGTTTTACATCTAAGCGACGATCGAATAATATTTTAAAGTTAGAATTAACATAACTGCCTTGTCCATATGGTTAATTTTACAACAGTTATTTATATAAAAAGACATAGAAGTAAATAAAAAAGTCAATATTCATATTCTAAGTCGTTTCTTATATAAAAAGTTATAATTCAAGTATAACAAAAATAATTTCAAGTGACATGGAAGAAGGAGATTTATCAGAGGAAGAAAACAGGTCTTAATTAGCATTTCTGCAACATCTTATCTCTACTGGGCAATAAATAGGGTCACGACCTTGACTTCAACACAGTCGTTCCATTACAAAGAGTCTTATATTTCAACGCAGCGCCATTGTCATGCACCATGCAATTTTTCACACGATCTTTCTTTTGTGCTTTTTGTCTTTGCAGACCATCTTGACATGTATTTAAGAAACTGAGGACTATGTTTCTTGGGTGATTTCTTTGTCTCTGTGTTTGTTTCTGTCTCTGTCTCTTTATCTTTGTGTATCTCTCTCTCTCTCTCCTTGTCTCTGTCTTTTTGTCTGTTTTTTTCTGTCTGTCTATCTGCCTGCATCTTTCTGTGTCAGCCTCGCTCTCTCTCTTTATCCATTTATCGCCCTATATGTCTCTCTATCTGCAATACTAAAAGTTGAGATATATCAGGACTATACTGAAGTTCAGTACCCTTACCTTCCCTTCCCCACCTCCCCTCCCCACCTCCCTCGCCCTTCCCTCCCTCCCCACCTCCCTCGCCCTTCCCTCCCTCCCCACCCTCCTCACCCTTCCCTCCATCCCCACCTCCCTCGTCCTTCCCCCCCTTCTATCCACTATCTGATGGGAACTTCGAGGAAAGGACGAGGTAATGACGGATGGAAAACCTCTTCGGTATCCTCCTGTCGTGACTTACCTGTGGCTTATAGATGCGTCTGAAGGTGACTTAGAAGGACCGGATGAATCATAGAGTATTTTTGTTTTCCCTTTTCTTATATCATTATCATGCGTTTACATCTAATAGAAGAGGAAACTATATACTTTCCTCGAGATAAATATCCACATTCAACGCTGCGTCAGTTTATGGAAATGGAAAAGAGAATGTGGAGTTATTTGTTCGCCATTTGTCTCGAGGAGGTGGCCTTGTTTCGTGGTCGAGGCGTCACATTGTTCTGTGACACGCTGTGATAAACGGCATGATCCATGGCCTACGCTGTGATAAGCCGCTAGATGTGTAAGGGTCGTTTTCCTGTAGAGTTCCTATGTATTTACGACTCGTACAGGTTTTATAGGTCGCTTTAGTTATTGATACATGGATATGTATATTTTGTATATGCATTAACAGGGTGCCTCGCCTCCTGCGGGTGTTGGGTCAACATTCTGGGTGGTCGAAGCTGGACAGTTTTGGGGCGTGTCTGGTATTTTTTTTCTTTTTTTTTTTCCTGACGAATTTGGGATGCGTTTGGACGCGTTGCCTTAAACTCTGAATAACATTAAAGTGTGTCAAGTGGCGCGGAACGTGTTCAAAGTGAACTCGGGTGAATATTAGATATTTAAAAGTGTGAACTCGAATGAACCTCATTGATTTACAAGACATACGCCAACACTACTCCGGAGAAGATTAAAGGCTGCTGCATTAGGGAGGTTGGCTGTCACGAGTACATATAACTATATATCTAAAAAGATAAAATAAAATAAAAGCGAACTCCGAAGGAATATCTGCGGCCCAAGTGGTTAGTCGAGGTCAACAGAGGTTAAATACCCAGCTCAAGATTTATATAACGATAGGTTTGAAATGAGGGTTGATTTCCTCGTCCCAAGTGGAAGCATATGTTGCCGTAGACAAAGGAGACACGTGGGAGCATATGCTAATCGCTCGACCTGATAAGAAAAAGATAAAAAGGAACACATTCGTCTCTTGCGTATCTTTATCCGTTCATCACGTAGAAGGGAAGCTCGACTGTGCAGCGATTTTTAATGAACTAATTTTGTGCAAATTCTATGAATCTAGTTTTATCTATTGTCTATTCACATTATTTTGGGGGAGGGCAAAGGTAAGATTTCTGCTACGAAGTAATTGTAAGATTAAGATTCTCAGCAAACTTATTGAATAGAACACTGAGAAGAGACTAAGGAATAATGCTAAAGGGATACGACACTAAAAAAGAAGAGAAATAAAGCATAAACAAAATTGAATAAAAATGACAACAACAACAGAAAAATAGAGATAAGAATAAACTCGAAAAGGAAAACAAAATAACTCGAAAAAGAAAAAGAAAAAACAGAAACCAACCAAACAAAAAGGAAGAGACA